ATAATAAATATAAAAAATTTTAATATTCAATTATATTTTATTAAATATTATTTAATGGACCTGAGCTAATGTGAATTAAAAAATGAACACATAGTTGTGTTTCTTAACTAATAACCACAACAATAAATATAATAAAAGTAATAATAATTTATTATTTACAGTATATAGTGCTTTTCTTGGCGCTCAAAGCACTTTATATTGATCAAAAATGACTGAAAAACACTGATTTATTTAAAAAAAATTTAATAATAAATAAATAAATAAATAAAAATAAATAAAAAATATTTTGTAACAAACTTTGAAAAGGTTTATTCTTTCATAGCTCCACGAGTGTAACAATTAATTTTTAAGATGAATTTTTATATTTAAAAACTGAATGCCTTAATCTGGAAGATGGTATAAAATCAATGCATTAAAATGCATATGCATTTAAAAAGTACCAAAAATAAATGGATGCATTGCAAAAAGTGTCCAAATCACTTTTAATGTGGCCTCTATAAGTTAAATAAAAAGCTCAAATCTGTTAAAAGCGCCGTAGTTGAAGAAACACCCTGTAATTGTCATCGACATGCTGTAAACAAAGACTGGGACAAGGGCCAAATGCATGAGAGCCGCTGTTTACTGCATACTGTCCATGCAGCACGACTGCATCGCCTCCATCGCACGTACAACCGAGCACAATGTAACCCGATCCGAGGATTCAGCACGTGACGAATGAGCACTGAAGCAGGGTTCATGCAGATGCATGCAGAACGTTCCGTCAGTGTCTCTGAAGCGTGCAAATCTGGCCTGATCGTTGAAAAGCACTGCGATGCCAATACATCCCTGCAGTCACAAGCGGGAAAAAGCCTGCAGTTTCTGCACAGCTCTCTCTCTTTCCATCAGAAGTCAGACTCGGGTTTCATATGCGCGCTCTGCTGCGAGCTGCTTTTCATGCTCGGAGGAAAACGGAGCGTGCGATTCTCACCTACAGGCGTTCTGGAGGCGGCACAGCCCATGCTCCGGGTAATTAGATGTCGAAACGCAAACCATGAACTGATTTAACCCGCATGTATGCTAAGAGACGGCAGAAGTGCTTGCGTAGCCTTCTCTCCATCTCTCTTCCTCTCCTGCTGTTCTCACAAGCATCCCCTGTGCGCTAGTTTCACAACTCGAGTCCTGCGCTGAAGAAAAACCAGCTGGATGCCGTTTCCCCAAACACATACCAGTGTTTCTCCCAAATGCAAATGGATTAAACTGTTGTGCTCCACATATACGGACTATATTACATTTCTGCAAACATAAACACACTAAAAACAGTTGTTCACCACAAATATAGAGACTAAACCAGCGTTTCTCCAAATGCCAACAGATTAAACTGGTTATTCCAGACACGTATCAACAAAACCAGCTTTTCTCCCAAATGCAAATGGTTTAAACTGTTATTTTCCACATATGCACACTAAACTATGGTTCTTCAAACACAAAACACACTAAAAACTATTGTTTGGTCCAAATATACAGACTTAACTGCATTTTTTCCCCATATAAATATGGACTAAACCAACTGCTTTCCAGTTAAAAACCAATTAAACTGATGATCTCAAACACAAACAGACTAAACCAGCATTTCTCCCAAATGCAAATGGTTTAAACTGTTGTTCTCCATACACACACACACATATATATATATATATATATATATATATATGGACTATATTACATTTCTGCGGTTTACCACAGATATAGAGACTAAACCAGTGTTTCTCCAAATGCCAACAGATTAAACTGGTTATTCTAGACACATATGAACAAAACCAGCTTTTCTGACACTCTAAAACATTAGACTAAACCAGACTAAAAACTATTGTTTGGTCCAAATATATGGACTAAACTGCCTTCCATATAATTGTGGACTAAACCAACTGTTTTCCAGTTAAAATCCAATTAAACTGACGCTCACAAACATGCACAGATTAAACCAGCATTTCTCCCAAAAGCAAAATGATTTAACTGTTGCCCTTCATACAAATACGGACTAAACTACATTTCTGCCAACACAAACACAGTTGTTCGTCACAGATATACGGAATAAGCCAGCGTTTAAACAAACGAAACTGTCGTACGAAACCAACTTTTCTCCAAAATGCAAAGACTAAACTGTTTTTGGCCACACATACAGACTAAACTGTTGTTCTCCGCACATATATGGACTAACACACAATTTCTGCAAACACAAACTCTAAACCAAAACTATTGTTCGCCAACAGATTTACAGACTAAACCACCTTTCTGCCAAACACATACAAACTAAACACGTCCTCCAGATTACAAAGATAAACTAAACTGTTGTTCTCCACATATGAACTACACTGTAAAAAATATTTACGGTAAAAAACAGCAGCTGTGGTTGCCGGAATTTTACCGTAAAAAATACGGTAGCAACGTTTTAGGTTTTAACTTAAAATTTACAGTTAAATACCGTAATTTCATTAACTGATATAATGTTAATATACCAACCTATTGAAGTACTGAAATCTGTTTTGTACCTTTGTAATACACTGATAACCACCAAATGCAGGAGGTGATGAGAAAGTCACGTGATGAACCAAAGCCCATCACAAGCAGCTTTTAATAGTAACAACATATATAGAAGGTGCACAGTGTCATTCACACAAACACTAAACACCATCACGGTAACACACATCAAACTGAAATAATGCAATAAACATTCATTTAACAACATTAGGTGTAACACACAACCCTAATATACAAAACTAATAAGAAAAAACTAAGAAGAAACAGTTATTTCAACAAAAAAACATAAAATTTGAAATGCATGAGTCAATTTACGGTTATTCACTGTAAATTATACGGTCTTTTTCACTTCCAAAAACGGTATACTACCGTAAAACTAATGTCCAATACATGAAATGTCCAATACAGTTTTTCACCGTATATAGTAGGGGAATTTACCGTTAACCATTTAACAGGTTTTTACTGTAGCATTTTTACAGTCTTTTACCGTTAAATTCACGGTCATTTTTTGCAGTGTACACTTCTGCAAACATAAACGCACTAAAACCGTCGTTTGCAACATTGAACGCATTCAATCAAAGACCGACTAAACTGTTGTTCTGCACACATACAGACTAAACTGTGGTTCTCGCAAACGCATACGAACAAAACCAGCGTTTCGCCCAAATGCAAAGACTAGACTGTTGTTCTTCAGTTTAAAAACCAACTAAACTTACGCTCCCAAACATATGAATTTCTACCAAACGAAAACAGACTAAACTGTTGTTCTCCATACATATATGGACTGAGCTGCCTTTAGTTTAAGACTAAACTGCTGTTCTCCCAGATAAAACCAGCTTTCCTCTCAAATGCAAGGACTAGTCTGTTGTTGGCTACACTACAGACTAAACTGCCTTTCTTCCACATACTAAACCTGTTTTTCGGTTTAAAAACCAACTAAACTGATGCTCCCAAACATATACAGACTAAACCAGCGTTTCTCCCAAATGCAAACAGACTAAACTGCTGTTCTTTACACATATATGGACTAAACTGACTTTCTTCAACAGACTAAACAAACTGCTCTTAACCAACTAAACTGATGCTCTTTTTTAAACATGTAAAGACTAAACTGCGGGTTTTCCTGAAAGCACATACAGACTAAAACCTGCCGTTCTTTACAGACACACAGATTAATAATAAAAATGCTTTTCTACAACAGACTGAACTGCAGTCCTTCCAACACAGATATAGGCAGCTGAACATCTGTCTATATAAACATATACAATTATTGTTATTCAAACGCGTGCAGACTAAACCAGCTGTTGTCAGAACAAATAAGCATCAGACTAAATTGCTCTTGACAGAGACTGATCTCCAAAGAATATGACATTGCACTGAAATGCTCGAAGGTTTAATTAAATCATAACAAATATGGTGCATGAAATATATTGCGGTCTAGTGAATCTCACCTCTAGATGACAGCGTTTCTCTCCTCGAGCTCTCGCGCATTGGCTTCTCCCGCGGCTCAGTTCCGTTCCAGCCCCGTCAGGTCCAAACACACACCGGCGCGAACGGCTCTGAGCTGGAGGCACTGAGGGCTGGAGAACCACATGCAGAAACGAGCTTTATAAACGAGCCACCCGGATGCGCAACAAGCTCTGATTGGACAGATCCTGCGCTGACCCCGCCCACAACATTTAATGAGTGTGGAAATAAGTGTGTTTACTTAATTATAGTTTGCGGACAAAATAGTCTCCAGAAATGAGCTAAATGTAACAAAACTTCCCTTTTTGACCGAAAATGTCTCCAGAAATTGAATCTGACAAACCAAAACATCCTTCAATGGGAATGAATTAATAACTAAATAGCTAACTAACTAAATAAATAAATAAATTTTTATTCGATTAAAACAATTAAATATAATAAATTATAATATAATATAAATAAATAAATTATAATATATTATAATTATAATATAAATTATCATATAATATAATATAATATAATATAATATAATATAATATAACATCTTCATCTGTGAACTCTTGCTCGGGTCTCTGGGGTGATCGCAGATGCACGGCTTGTTTACACTGCTGCTCGTCTCTTCTTCTCTGGGAATAAACCTCATCTCTGCATTTACCGCAGGCCGTGCAAGACCACAGATTTCCCTTAAAGATGTTGATGGTGATCTTTTATCATATAGTTCTGATAAAAACATGTTTATCCTCTTTGAGAGGAACATTGCACAAAACAAGACGTTTTCAGAAACACTCATTTTCGTCAGTCGCAATAAATCCAATCCAGTTTCAGATCCTGAAAGTTTTGTTTATATGAACCCTAAACCTTTTTTTTTCTTTTTCACGCGCATTACTTCGAAATCGGAACAAAACTACAGCGCATGCGCAGTCGCCGCGTTTAGCGTGATAACCGGAGCCAAGTGAGTATAATTGTTCTTTTTATGATTTATTTGAACATTCAGTTTACACTATGCTACAACAAAAGATATAACACAAGGAAAAAAGGAAAACATGAACAACCAATAGCTCAAAATAGAAACATAATAAATAATAAAGGAAAAAGAACGAAGAGGGAATTATACAAAATGATAAAAATAAAAAATAAAAACATTAAAACGGTAAAAAATTTGTAGGCCGTGCAAATTGTTAAGCAAAACTGTAAGTAAATATTTTTTTTATCTCTTGGTAAAATAGGTTTACTACGGTGACGCATTGCTGCCACACACATATTATTTTTTCCAGTCAATTATGTCGTAATAACGAGATACGTCATTTTAACGACATCTTTTCTCGTTAAAACGACCTCTTTTCTCGTTAAAACGACCTCTTTTCTCGTTTTAACGACATCTTTTCTCGTTTTAACGACATGTTTTCTCGTAATAACGAGATGTTTTCTCGTTAAAATTACATCTTTTCTCATTTTAACGACATCTTTTCTCGTTAAATCGACAGCTTTTCTCGTAATAACGACATCTTTTCTCGTTTTAACGACATCTTTTCTCATAATAACGACATCTGTTCTCGTTTTAATGACATCTTTTCTCATAATAACGACATCTGTTCTCGTTTTAACGACATATTTTCTTGTAATAACGAGATGTTTTCTCGTTAAAACGACATATTTTGTCATAAAACGACATGTTTTCCGGTTATTATAGATAGGCTATATGGTAGTATATGTGAGCGAGCTAAGCGACTGTCCGCGCTGCTGTCGCCACAGTCTGACATAAACGAGGATCTGCACGCTGCTGAAATGATTGAAATACACTGTTTTAAATGTATTTTAATGTAATGGTTTTAATTGTAGCGGCATGTTTATTAGGATTAATCTCCAATCTGTCTACAATATAGTGCTATAGCCTATCTATAATAATGGGAAAACATGTCGTTTTTATGACAAAATATGTCGTTATTACGAGAAAAAATATGTTGTTTTAACGAGAAAACATCTCGTTATTACGAGAAAAAACGTCGTTATTACGAGAAAAGATGTCGTTTTAACGAGAAAACATCTCGTTATTACGAGAAAATATGTCGTTTTAATTAGAAAACATCTCGTTAAAATGAGAAAAGATGTCGTTTTAACAAGAAAACATGTCGTTATTACGAGAAAAGATGTCGTTTTAACGAGAAAACATGTCATTATTACGAGAAAAGATGTCGTTTTAATGAGAAAAGATGTCATTAAAACAACATAACATCTCGTTATTACCACATAATTGAGTGGAAAAAAATAATATGTGTGTGGCAGCAATGCGTCACCGTAGTTTACAACTCGAAAATGTACATTTGTGAATATAGAATCTACATAAGAAGAGAATTAGGTTTATTACAAAACAGGCATTGGGATCCGCTTCAAAAAAACAAAACAGATTTGGGATTCATTGAAAAATCTTGTAAGATAAACAAGTTAAACTAACATGTCTCCAGAGTTGAGAAATATAACTGCATCACCAAAACGAATGAAGAAGAGTTTCAGTGTCATTCTGACAGAAGGAGCATTTTGTGTCAAAATCAGATCCAAATTTTTGAGACGTAAATAAACAGGCACGTTCATAAGACTTAACGTATACATATGTATCGCGGAATGCGCATGCGCAAGGAATTTGTCGGATTCAATTTTGTTCGTGCTTAATTTTTTTTCTTATCGATCATATTATTTCAGGGCTACATCTCCCCTTTCAATCCGATTGTAATTTAATTCGGATCGAGCTAAATCGGATCGTTTGAGGTGTTTATGTAAAGCCTTTCAATCCAATTGAGCCATCAATCTAATTACTAGAAGATTATTGGGTTGCATGTAAACGTAGCTACTGACCTGTACATTTTATCAGGTCCACAAACTCTAATCATCTTGATCTAGATCAGTCAGATCCAAATGCTTGGTAGACCATTTCAATCCTGATATTTAACATAAATGACCAGTTTAGACACACGCAACAAACCATGCAAATCCAGCTTCATCAAAAACCTATTTTAGCTTCATTTTCTAGCAGATCCAGCAAAAAATCAAAACCTGTTCAACATTTGTTTTCTTACTTTTGGAGAAAAGCAGCTAGTTTGTGGTGGTCCTTGCCTAAAATAGATTTTTAAAACTTTCATTGTACAAGTTTTTGTTAGTGAGTGGAAATCTGAACAAACAACATCAAGTGTCAATCTCAACCTGTCAAAAACATATCCAGAACACCCCAAAATCAAAAGAAGAGAAATATCAAATATTTTGATCAAAGAAAATAAAGGTGCCCTTTTTAGAACATTCAGTAAATACATACAATAAATAAATAAATCTGCTGTAATGCAATAAAAACAATTAAATATTGTTCAAATTTGTAAATATTTTAAAGTGCATTACGGTGAGAACTTATGGTTAAACCGTCAGATATATATAAATGACTAAAAAAAAATTTTTTATATAATAATGCATGTTCTTTATACAAAATATAATGCTATTTTTATTTCCTTTTGATTTTGGGATGAAATACTCCAAAGCCATGTGACTAGAGGGTTTTACTGTATGAATTACAAATATGCAGCAGTGAGAATCTACTCAACTCAACTTTTTAATGAATACAAGCTTTTATTCTCTTTGAAGCTTTCTGCATGTTCTCTCTCAGTCTCTCAGCACACTGTCCTGCAGTGCAGTAGTGTGTGCAGTGTTACAGCGCCACCTGTAGGTCAACACAACATCTGCACAAATAGATATAGATAGATAGATTTATAGATAGATAGATAGATAGATAGATAGATAGATAGATAGA